CTAAAAAAATTCGAAAAAATATTCGAACCGAAAAATAAATCAAGGAAAAATTCGGCCCCTCAACAAAAGGTAACAACCGAAACAAAAATCAAACAAAGGACTAACAAGATGACACTTTTTTTTAAAGACTCAATTTCGAAAATTAAAAGGAAAAATTCGAACAAAAAATTTGAACCCCAACAAAAAATAAAGAGAAATTCGGCCCCTCAGCAAAAGGCAAACCGAAAAAAAAAAGAAAAGATAGGATAAATAAAAACACGATCAGTACCTCTCAACGAGAGAACCAATGATGAAGGACCGCTGATCGGTGTTGTTATTTATACGTGGGTTGTGAATAAACGGCGCACTCAGGGCCTTCGTTTATCCACGATAGGTGTATCTAGCAGACGCACTCAGGGCCTTCTTCTAGACACAGTGACTTCGAGACGTTCTCAGGGCCTTCTCTCCGACACTGTATGTAAACACGCACTGACGGCCTTGTTTATCACACGTTAGAACATAAAGTTCCCCTCAATTGGCTCACCAATTCAATACTCAATTCCACATGTCTAAAATATGATGAGGTACATGGGGTATTTATAGATACCAACTACCTCTAAGCCTAATAGATCTAGATCTCCTATTCTATGCAATAATATAAATCCTAATGCTAGTAAATCTCCTAACATCTTCTACTACTAATAAATAAAAGTAACATGGAAATAAAATCCTAATATTGCTAAAATACTAATTGTCTTGCACACCAAGTATCTTGATGCCCAAGTCTTCTTTTCACATCCAAATTCTTCGGTCTCCTTCCCTCGTGCACCGCCTCTCGCGCGCGCCCTCGGTTCCTACTCCTAGCCGAACTCGGCGTCCCGCGCACTGTCCCTGCACGCGTGCGCCATCGCGCACACTTTGCCCCTGCCGCGTCCCGCCTGCGCGTGCGCGCCGTCTGCTCGCCATGCCTAGTCCCGCACGGATTGGGCTTTGCGCGCCTGTGTTGCAATCGCGCGCCAATGCGCGCGCCCTACTGCTGCCATTTCTTTCACCCGCGTGGTGCCACGCGTCTCGCCCATCGCCCGCACATCTGCTGCCCGTGCGCCCGCGTACCCCTCGCATAGCCCGCGTCCCATGCACCAATCGCCCGTGCATCTTTCGCACGATCACCCGACCACTCGCGCGCATCATGGCACGATGCGCGTTCTTCGCTCGTGCTTGCCCATCCATAGCAATCCCTCTCGCGCGCCATCCACCCAACAACCTCCCCCTGCGCGCCACTTCGCCTATTCTCCAAACGCCATGCACGTCTACGCCATTGTGCGTGTGCGCGCCCTTGTCTATTGCCTTGTACGCGCCGCTTATCATGTGCTTGAGTGCCCCGCATACGAGCTCGTACCCGTCTTCTAGGCCATGCATGTGTCGTTTTGGCCCTTTTGCCAACCTCCTCGGGTCGTCTCGCCTCTTGGATCTTCTTGTTGTCGGGGCTCGGAACCCACTTCCGCATCATGCGGGTGCTAGCTATTGTCGTGCGTACGATGTTTGCTTATGCTTATGGAATTTACCAATTTCTCTCACTCTCTTAAGCTCTCGGTGCGTGTGAATTCCTCACAAACTCTCTATATTAAACTTAGCTTGGAGAATGAAGTATATATGATGCTTAAGAGATGTGAATTTTCACTCCAAACTCCCATTTATATACCCAACGAATGAACATTTTGGGGTGGGAGATGATGTGGTGTTATAAGGAGATAACAACACTTGTACTAACCTTAAGAACTCTTAAGATTACTAATCACTTTCTTAGCTTAGATGATGCCACGTATGGGAGTTTAAAGGAAAAGGAATGATGTTTCCCATTTCAAAAATTATACCACGGCATTTACGAATTGATTTAGGACAAAACTATAAAAGCTACGGCTTTAGTAAATTGATTGGGAACAATTTACATAACCCACGACTTTAAACATCAAATTGTGATTAATTGTTAATTAATCACTAAATTATGTTTAATTATTTAATTAAACATAATGCTTAATTACCAAAATTATTCCGAACGTAAACGGGACGTCGAAAATAATTTTCGGTAATCTTAACTGAAATGACTGATATAATTAATTCCGAAACTATTTTTATTTCGGAACTAAAAACATGAATGGATACTCCTGACTGAATAATTAATTCCAAACTCATTAATTAAGTAAATGAATCGGAATTAAATCTGAAAACTTTGTCGGTTACTGAATTAATTAAACCGAATAACTTATCGAATAATAGTCGAACATAGAATATAACTGACTGATTAACCTGAACTTGAACATGAACATGATTATTTATTAATAAAGGCTAGCTTAAAACTAAAAGCTAGTATTTTTCTTTATTAATAAAATACG